TGCCCCTCATACAATATATCAATTGAATTAGCTAAATGCTACGTATATATCTCATGGTGTACACAATTTTTCACATTCCTTACATTGAGGGGCCCACACATGTTAAGGGTGAACATGGTTCGATTTGGACGGTTTGAGACAAATTTTCAAACCAAACCATTGAAAGAGGTTCGAAATTTTTTCAAACCAAACCAAACCACTTCAATTTCTAAACTAAACCAATACAAACCATTTTTTCCAGTTTGGTTCGATTTAAAACCACGTTTTAATAATGAAAGAATTAAATATATATCAAATAAGTTAAATCACAAATATTAGCATAAAATTTCACGTTAATATATAAATTGTATTATTAAAAAATTACAAATCAAAATTACATAATTATAATCATTATAATGCAACAACATGATATAAAAATTTTAATTTCATAGTCGATATTAATGTTGTCAATCTGCAGTTGTAACACATAATTCATTCTTTTCATAAATATAAAAATATAGTACATGAATTCATTTATTATAGTTAAATGATAATAAATAATGAAAAAAGAATTAAAAAATTCGAATACAACAATACCTAGTTACTGTAACTTTCCGTGAATCATCCGATACTTCTACTCCATCCAAATATTAGCGAATTACTTTAACGAAGTCTGACAATTATTAGAATAAAACAATATAAGTACCAATGAAAACATAGAAAAATTACCAAAAAAATAAAATAATTTGGATTATCTAACTTGAATTTGGGCAAAATTTGAGAAAATTATTAGTAGAAGGAAATGAAATGTGTAAGTTTGAATTAAAATCTATATTTAATTATCTACTCAATTGTAATGGAGGGTCAACGAATATGATTTAGCAGTAGTTGTTCAACATTTTATCTAATTTGAAGATTTTACATTCACAGTTGTGATAACTAATGGGTACTTGGTTATGATTTAATTAATTAATTGAAATGTGTAATTGTCGAATTGAGTTTAATTGAATTATGTATAATATGCGTGTATCTTTTTAACTAAAATGTGTTATATTTTAATTGGGTTAAATAAAATTTAGACTAATTTATTTTCAAAATTTTTTTTGGTAAACGGTTTGGCAGTTAAAACGGTTTGCAAATATTGAAACATAAACCAAACCACTTCGAAGCAGTTTGGTTTAGTTTAAAACCAAAATGTTAACGGATCCACATGGAACCAAATCAACGGTTTCAGAAAAATGGTTTCGATTCTGTTTTACGGTTTGATGTTTTCTTTGTTCAACCCTAACACATATTTTATTGTATGTGGGCTCCCTCCATGTGAGGGGAAGGAGTGTAAACCGTTGTGTACACTATTATGTATCCTTTCAATTGCGAATTGACCGTTCATTTGGATGGGGGATAATTGGCAAATGGGGGAGGAATGGAAAGGATTTTGGGTGAAAAATAGAGATGGGGATAGGTATCGTGGTGTATAACTGATTTTTGAAAAAAAAAAATTAACATTAAAAAAATAAGTGTAGTAAGGACCTGATTTATGAAATTGAGACTTGAAAGGTAAGGTTTGAGTAATTTTTCCTTAATGGAAAAATCCCAAGTTGGACAGCAGGGTGTTAGCTTGGGCTGCCCACAACCCTTTGAGGCTTCTGAGCCCAATAAATATAGATGGGGCGCCTTCTAAAGCCTTATTGTCATTAGAAAGTCCATCAAGTGGCCTACCTTGTTGTGAGAAGATAATCAAGAAGGTGACTTTCGAGAACGTTAATGTGTGAAGATTATGTCCAAGATCAAAGATCATATTTTTTTAGTACCACCGGGATATTGATCTTCTTGTCGAACGTAGATCAAGATATTATTTATTCGCGCAAAGTAAATTCAAATGTCCGTAGTTCTATTTGAGTAACTTTAATAGACTCGAATATTTATATCATTTTAACTTTGATTTACAGGTTCCATTTGTATTGCATATTTGCATTTGATCTTATTCTTGTAGATTATGTAGTACTTTTTAGTTGGTTGTCTCATTTTTCGAAGGATAACCTAACTACCTCCTAAGATATGCAAGATTCTCTCACTTTATAACATTTTCTTTATTTAATAAAAAGAAGAAGAAATAATCCTGTGGAAGAACATTTTGAGATATGATTAAAAGGGCAATTATATTAATACCAAAACTTTTTTAATTGTGCCACATTTATATTGCTATGAATGTCCTCAAATTTTGCTTATTTTTATAACTAAATCTTCAACTTTTTTTTTACGTGTTTTTATGTTTAATTTTCAATAATTAACACAATTTATCTTCAATAACGATTTTTGTCCAAATATTATGTTAAAGTGTTGAAAGCATTTTGTCAAATTATCGTATTTGTTGTTATCTTGCTTATTCAAAGTACGAAGAGTAAATAAGTTATTTTACTCCATCCTAATGGATTTTTTGAACGTCAGTGAGAACGAAATGTGCTAATGATATAAGGTTGAGATTAAAATACGATGAAAAATAGTTTGGAATATAAGTATAAAAAATGAATAAAAATTAAGGATCTTATTATAACTATAACGTGATTTAGTTAACAATTATATTACTCATCCATATTAAATATTACCTATTCAACTTTTTTAGAGCCTCGTTAATAATAAATTATTTCTAGCCACAATTACCACAAAACTGGATTCATAGACCAAAAATTCAGTTCCAGTAAATATTTCAATGAATTAAACTTGGTTAACAAGAAGTTTTCATTACTCATTTTAAGCCCCCCATTTGATTTTGGCGAAATCAGATTTTTAGTAGAACTCAATGAAAGTTGATGAAATATACTTTTGAAAAGTTGTTAAAAAATTACATATCTTATGAAATGTTTAATTAAAATTGATTGTTGACTTTAATTTAGCTTTTTATAATTTTTTAAAATAAACCAAAAAGAACTAATGGTCCATTTGATAGCATTAAATTCCTTGGAAAATATCATATCAGAGGAATTCATTTTTTACTTAGGTTGTTTGATACGAAAGTGAAAATGGAATTCAAATTCCAAGGTACAAACACTTAGGGTGTATTTGATAGGGTGGAATTGGAATTGAAAAATGGAATTGGAATTGGATTTTCCAACTTTAGGTATTTGATATTTTTTTTTTTCCATGGAATTCAAATTCTTGATTTTCTTGAGCTTTGGATTTTTCTTGATTTTTAGGGAAAATCATGGTGGGAATTGGTTTTCTCACGTACTGTAGCATTTTTTTTCTCCAATGGAAACAAATTTTATATCTAATTGTAAATTTTTTTTTTCCTTTAATTGACAATTTTCATATAAAACAAAGTTAAACAAACACCAAAAGATAGATGATTTTCTTGATTTTTTGAATTTTTTTTTTTTGACAATAGAAACAAATTTTATCCTCAATACCAGTAAATTATATCCCCTTATTTGACAATTTCTATATAAAACAGAGCTAAACGAACACCAAAAAGCACTTTCATTTCAATATTTTTCATGTGGAAAATTATACCAATCAAACAAAATAATTTATAATTCCCAAGAAAATAATTTTAGGCAATTCAATTCCTTGAAATTAATTTTCTAGGCAATTCAATTTTATTTTTACAATCAAACGGACCCTTAAACTATTTTTTGACCAATTGAGTAGAATTTGAATTCCTACGATTTTGATGGTTTTTTCTTTTTGAACTTACAAGAAAATAATTTATATTTTTTACTCATGCAATCAAACGGACCTATAAATATATTTAGAAAAACTCGAACTGCTTTTTTGTTGTTCCAATAGTTGAAAATATCATTATTGGTGTGGTTATGATCAAATACCTACCTATGACACTTGTCAAAACCATTACGTACCGTCGTCCACTACTACCCTCAACACTTCAGCCATGCCTGTCACTAAAAGATTAGGAAGTCTTCATTTTTCTTTTTCTTTTATTTTTTTCTCAATCCAAATCAACATCAATAATAAAGACAAAAAAGCTCATTAAAAATGGTATTTTATATGTAAAAACAAGGTCATGAATATATTTTTAGCACATGTTTAGTGAGGAATTAAATTTTGATTTTAATTTAAATAAAGTTAACAATTAATATTAACTATATATTTTATGATTAACAATTTTTCAATCGATAATTTCATCAATTTTTATCAAAATTTACTAAAACTTTTAATGAAAGCTTTATCAAACATCATCTCAATCTTGTTTTTCATGAAAAATATATTCTAGATGTTAGGTGCTTTAAAATTAAGTCCTTGTTTGATAAAGATTAAATTATATTTTTAATAAATTTTTAAATTTTGGTAACATACATAAAAGTTTATAAAATATATAGCTAAAAATTTGATAAAGGTTGTAGATCATATGAAATATGTTGTTAAAGATTAAAGATTAAAGATTGACAAATAATATTTTAACGAACTTTTATCAAACGAGCATCGAGTCACTAAGAAAATTTGGTTGGACTCGGACTTTCCTGCCCTTTTTGACGTCACTATGTAAAATTAGCCAGTGTCTATGTAGATTAAAATACATTTTTTTTAGTAAATTTTGATAAAAATTGATGAAATGAGCCATTAAAATTAATAATAGACTTTGACTTGAAATTTTAATCTACCTTTAATGTAGACCAAACATGAGCTTAAATATTATATGACCCATCTTGTGACACAACTATATAGAGTCCCCAATTTGATTCAACTAAAAATTTAGATTAAAATTTAAGTCAAAGTTAAAAATTGATTTCGATCACATATTTTATATGACCCACAACTGTTTTCATCAACTTTATCAAAATATACTAAAAATATGATTTTTTCCTAAACGAAATGTGAACCAAAAAAATAAGTAAATCATTCACAAACCGACAATCTATATAAGCATAGAAGTTAAATGCACTGCAAATCACCCAACTTTAAGCATAGTTGCATTCTTGGTATTCATATTCAATTTGATACAATTAAATCACTTCGATTTACTTGCACAACTAACAAACGTAATATGCAGAGTAGACGTTAAATTTAATAGAAGTTGCATGACTTTATTGTACTAAATTGAATATAAATTATTTGGATACAACTCAACTTAAAGTTGGATGTCACACATAGCATACAACCCATAAACGTCTATTCTGCTACACGAACAGACTCAATGTTATACATTTATAGACCGATACACTTGACACAAATTTCAATTGACAATTAAAAAAGAAAAGTTAAACAAAAGACTGCCAATTACAAACTGTAAAGGCAGTCTATTAAAAAGTGCCCTATTATTGTGCCTCTTCAAGCGGCATTATTCCCATAAACATAGTAACAAGACACCGATGTAATACCAACATCAGTCACCATCTAGGTTTTAGACCAATACCTCAAATTGATCGAAGATTTGAGGACAACCCAATCATCGTAAAAAAAAAAAATAATAAATAAAACACAAATTACTTATTACATGATCTTGCATTCAGCTGTGGGATTTTCTTCAATATAACAAGCACACTTTCTGAGGTGGCAGCCCGTCCCATAGCTACAACCACAGCCACAACTACACTCACGCCCATACCCATAACCATAATAACCGTCATTACACGACGGAGCTGGCCCATGGTAGCATGGACCACCACCATAACCTTCTGAACATGGTCCACAACAAGTCCGTGCCGGTGGTGGCAATATGGTCACTACGGGCTCTTTAGGGCTCATGAAACACGGCGGAGCTGGGTACACATGGTAGCATGGACCCCCACCATAACCTTCTGAACACGATGCACAACAAGTCCGTGTCGGTGGATAAGGTGGGATTGGTTTGGGCACCTTCGTCGGTGGTGGAGGCGGTCCCGATGGAGCTGGGTTCCCACGGTAGCATGGACCCCCAGCATGACCTTCTGAACACGGTGCACAACAAGTCCGTGCCGGTGGACCAAGTGAGAATGGTTCGGTCACATCCGCCGGTGGTAGAGGCGGTTGGTCACGCAATTCGGTCACTACGGTCTCTTTAGGGCTCGTGGGGTTTTCGACCACCACTTCGGGCTTTTTACGGCGTCTGGGCCTTTCATCTGGAGCAGGTTCCTTTTCGGGCGCTTTTATTTCAATATTCTTGATAACCTTTCCACCTTTGCAGCACAATTTGTCACGAATTTTTTCTGGGCTGCAGCATACTACATTGATCGTCACTGTATTTTGCTTGACATCATATATCTGCCCTCTAATTTCTTGTTTTCCAATAAGTTTCACAATGAAGAATATAAGTCAGTTCTTATTCAAACAAGTATATACATTTTTCCATCTTATTTCCAATATCACATTCTGCAATAAAATAATATTTTACGTAAATTCAGATCCTTATTTTTTTAACCTCATATTGTCAATTAATATATTATTCCAAATGCATTGTTTGCCAAAAATAGGGCTCAAACATGTTCTTAAAGTCTTACGAGGAATTCCGCAAAGAATTTTTTTGACTTTCTTGTGGCAGCAAGGACAATGGAGATCAGCCTTTAGCATCATCACAGTAACCTGATGGAACAAAATTGATGAAAATACTAAATGGAAGACAATAGCAGTAGCTTCAAAAAACGAAATATGAATAATATTTCTTGAACCATGTTCATACAATAGAAGTAGAAATGAACACAAAGCTTAAAATATTCATACCTTCTCAGCCATGAGTAGATATGTTCAGAAAAATAAGTTGACGCTATGGATGATTAACTAAGATGAAATAGACTTTGGAGAGAGAGAAAAAGAAGAATAAAACATAGTACCAAGTTGACAGAATCCGAATCATGTCATTTTCTGGAGTACGAATTTATCCATAATTAGGATTCATTTGGTAGGATTTTTTAAGGTCAAAAGCTAATTTTGAAACTAAGAATTGCTTTTGGATATCTCTGAATAGTTTTCTAAAAATGCTTCGTTTAGTTAAAAATGCTTTTAAATGAAGTTGTCCAATGTGCTTTCTTAGATTGCTTTTTTCAGAAGAAGCTGAAGCAAAAATAAAAACCTTGTATGGCATATATATGTTACCCAAAATTCAAACTCAAGATCTTTATATACTCTTATACGACGATAAGTTATTTCATCAAAAGATATAAACTAATATGATATCACCCTTGTGAAATCATCAAAAGTGTTTGACTCAAGAGAATGGTAAGAGAGAGCCTGTGCCTTTATCTTTTACGAAAAGGATACTATGTGTTGAAAGAGTATAGTTCAAGCCCGTCGATTTCGTATCTTTTTCATGTGCTGGCTTTGATAGGCACATCTTATCTTTCCAATTTTTATTTGACAAACTATTCTTTAGTAATTTGAGGCCTATTAATTAGATCAGGTTAATTTAAATTTTTACTTGACAAATGAACCTATAGTAATTTAAGGCCTATTAATTAGGTCAGGTTAATTTAAAATTGTAGATCATGCCCAAAAAAGCTACATCAAAGAAATTGTACATGAAAAATTGGCTACTCTCGGTGCATGTTTGGAGAAACTTATTGTTTTTAATTGGTCATATTATGTTTTTATCTCCATATTTTGTGTCTAATCAAGTGAAACGGAAGTGATATGTTCAACTTATTAAGTTTTCGTTCGCCTTGCTCTTCTTACATATTATGCCAAATAGACGTCAATTAGTGGTCACGACATCGAGCAACTAGGAAAAAAGGCCATATGTAGATAATGAAGAACTATAACATTGAATTGCTTGCGAGTTTTAATGTATGCGTCCATAAGAAATTTCTAAGCCACTCATTATTAGTAGTAAAACTCTGTGCAAAGTTTTCTTCCATGATAAAAATGACAAAGAGATGTAACTTCAAATCTTTCAGAATCTTTAACCTATCCTATTTTCAACATAGACAATTGACATTTCATATGATAGTGGCAGCCAATTGCTACTCCCTTGCTCGGGCCTAGATAGAGCCTTAACATGATGAAAATACATGCTGGGGCCACTATTTTTTTATGAAATATAATACATAACTATACATATATACGGTTTTGATCTACTAAGCATCGTACTTAGCTTATGTTAACGTGAACAGAGGAGAAGGAAATGTGAGGAGAGGAGTTGTGAATTGGAAAGAGATATATACATATCCATATTTTCTATATTTTGATTTACTAGGTGGGTAATTTTGATTTAAAATTAATTTTATTAATGAAATAATATGTCAATTGATTGTCATATTATCTTAATTGACACACACAGAGAGCTTATGCTAAGCATCATGCTTAGTTGGAATCCAAGTAGGGAGCAGAATCGTGGCCCTAGCTTGGACTCTAATCAGGTTAAGGCTCTATTTAGGCTCGTATCCTCAACTTGGACTCTGACCATGTTAATGCTCTGTCTGGGTCTTGAAAAGGGAGTAGCAATTGGTTGCCTTCATATCAAATGACAAATGTCTTTGTTGAAAATCGAATAGATTAAAATTTTTGAAAGAATTGAACTTACATCTCTTTGTCATTTTCATCACGAGGGAAAACTTTGCACAGAGTTCTATTACTAATAATGAGTAGCTCCAGAATTTCTTATTGACGCAGGCATCCCAAGCAGTTCGGTGTTATAGTTCTTCATTATCTACATATGGTCTTTTTTCTTAGTTGCTCAATGTCGTGATCACTAGTTGATTTCTATTTGACAGAACATGAAGAAGATAAAGGCAAACAAAAACTTATTAATTGATCAAACATATATCACTTCCATTTCTTCCGATTAGACACAAAATATGGAGTTAAAAATATGATTTGACCAATGAAAAAGTAATTATAAGTTTTCCAAACATACACCGAGAGTTGCCACATTTTCATGTACAATTATGATCCATAATTTTAAATTAATCTGACCTAATTAATAGGCCTTAAATTATTGTAGATTAGCTTGTCAAATAAAGATTGGGAAAGTTAAAGCTGTGCCTATAAAAGCCAGCATATGAGAAGATTCGAATTCGATGGGCTTGAACAATACTCTTTCAACATAGTACCCTTTTCGCAAAAGAAAAAGCACAGATTCTCCCAAGTAAAACACTTTTGATGATTCCACATGTTTGATGTCATATTAGACGTTTTTCTTCAAAGAACCGTTTTCGCAAAAGAAAAAGCACAGATTCTCCCAAGTAAAACACTTTTGATGATTCCACATGTTTGATGTCATAGTAGACGTTTTTCTTCAAAGACAAAATTTAAATAAATATTATTTAGTTTATATATTTAGATGAAATAATTTATCGTCATATAAGAGTATATAAAGATCTTGAGTACGAATTTTGGGTAACATATGTATGCCATCCAAGGTTTTATTTTTGCTTCTAATTCTTTTAAAAGAGCTTTCTAAGGAAGCACATTGGACAACTTCATTTAAAAGCTTTTTTAATTGAACAAAGCATTTTTAGAAAGTTATCCAGAAATGTCCAAAATCAACTTTTAGTTTCAAAAGTAGCTTTCGACTTTTAAAAATTTTGTCAAATGGGTCCTAATTATGTATAAATTAGTATTCGAGAAAATGACATGATTCATATTCTATCAACATGGTACCATGTTTTATTGTATTCTCTCTCTCTCTCTCCCGCCAAAGTCTACTTCATCTTAGTTAATCATTCACAGCGTCAACTTATTATTTTTTTTTTTTTTTGGAATTTTTTTAAGCTTTGTGTTTATGTCTACTTCTATTATATGAACATGGCTTGAACTTTTTCTTCACAAAAAGTTATTCATATTTTGTTTTTGAAGCTACTGCTTTTGTCTTCCATTTAGTATCTTCATCAATTCATAATGGCCCCCGTTTTTTCAAGTTAAAATAGATAGAATAATATTTTTTTTTGAAAAATGAGTGATTGAAAACAAAAGAATTTTTTTTTTGTTTTACATGTAATATTATTTTATGAAAGATTGTGTGATTAAAAATAAGAGATAAAAAATGAAATGTAATTTAATGGGGGTCAAACGGGGGCTAATATCCAATGTCATTCCTGCCACAAGAAAATCAAAAAAATTCTTTGCAAAATTCCTCGTAAATTTCCAAATTCATCCATATTATGATTGAACAAGAACAAACATTATATATTTTCATGTTATCGACTTGTTTGGATAAGAATTGACTTATATTCTTCGATGTAAAACCTGTTGGAACAAAAGAAATTAGAAGGCATATATGTACGACTGTGACATTTTGTAATTGTAACTAGTACATAATTGTGATCATAAAATATGTTATAATTTATTAAATTAATTGATCACGTCTCATTTGTCAATCATAAATCACAAAGTTTATATATCACAACTTATTTCAAGGCCACAAATTATCATATTAATTGATCACAATTTATTTATCAATCACAAGAATACAAATCGTGGATCACAGTTACAAATCTAGCTACAAATCAAAAAATTTTAGATCGCATTATTTATTTGTCACAATTTATTCGTTTCATTAGTCACAAATACACAATAATTGGTCAAAATCCCTCTTTATCCAAACCCATTCCACCCTATCACCGCTACTCGCATCACCATCCCAGCCTCCAAACCCCTCTTCATCCAACCCATTTCGTACCACCACTAAAGCACCATCAAAATTAATCTTAGACAAATCAAACCGTTAAATGGTAATATCTCAGATCATACAACATCGTAATAGCATAATCATGTTGAAACCAATCCTAATATTTCTTGCCTTCTTCGTTTTCAGTAGGTCCCACTTCTTGTCAGAATCACCACCTCATCAATTTCTGATGGCATAATCTCTACCCAGAGTCTTTCATATGGGACCCAAAATCTAAGCACTTTGGATCCCTTCAATAATGAACCCTCCTTTACGTCTTCGATACCAACGTCACCTCCACACTCCTATCCCCAAGTCCTTCATCAGCCTCGCCTTGAACAGCGGGGGATCCAACACCTAGGGATGACAAACGGGCACGTCGGCTCGAGTCGCCAGTGGCTCGGCCCGAAAAAAGCTCGAGCAGGCCCGCTCGTGGCTTGGACACACCAAGCTGCCAAGCCCCCTTTCGGGGAGTCACTCGAGCCCAGACTAGCCTGTTTAAATAAAAAAATAGCTAAAGAAAAATAAAATAATAAGTCTCCAAGCTGCCAAACAGGCAGCTAATCTACTTCCGATTAAGGCAAATTGCTGCCTTAACCGACAGCTTTATAGCTGCCAATAGGGCTCCCTGTTTGGCAGCTATTTACCTACCAAACAGACAGCAAATGAAGAGAGAGAAAAAATCGAGCAGGCTTGGGTCGAGCTCTAATATTTTGGCCTAGCTTTTGCTGGGCTCGACTCAAGCAAAAAAAAAAAAAGCTTGAAGTAAAAAGCCCAAGCCGGGAGTTTCAACTTGGTTTGGCTCGTCGATACACCTACCAGCACCTGGAGAGCTCCCTAGATCGCGCAGCCGAATCCGTCGGAAGCAAATTTTTTTGTTGATAATAGATAAAAGTTTTTTATTATATATATCTGATAATTCATTATCTTTACCTATTATACCAAGCTCTAGGAGCCTGTTTAAGTCCATACAAGCCCTTCCTTAATAGATAAACTTTCTTTCCTGCCTTTTCAAGTTGGAAACCTTCCGACTGTTCAATGAAAATCTCTTCCTCCAAATGTCTATTCAAAAATGCTGATTTAACATCTAATTGGTAGATTTTCCAGCCTCTATGAACAGCTATTGCAAAAAACAATCTGATTGTTTTATACCTGGCTACTGGTGCAAAAGTATCAGTGAAATCAATTCCATATTGTTGTGCATATCCTTTC